ATGTGCCAGTGTGCACCAGGACGTGGCATGAGGGTGATGGTCCCCAGCTGGATCCTAACACAAGGGGCTTAGTGTGGGAGATGCTGCCCCGGGCCGGTCTCTGCCGCCCACTCGCAGAGCATCTCCCGGTACCCCACCGCGCAGCTTCTCCTCTCAATGCCTTTGCTCCGCAGAGAGATCAAAAGGCATCCAACCCACTGATCGCTGGGTTTTGTGTCGAAAGGCTCCCTGATTACCTCACCATTAGCTGCGCCCATTAAACAAAATCCTAAAGGTTTTACACAAAGCTGAGGTTTCAGATGAGAGGGCGAAGGAATGACTCAGTGCCTTTAAACGCCAAAGTCTTCTCCTCCGTCCTGTTTGTACAGCACCTAGCACGAGGGGTCCAGGTGCATGCCTAGGGCTCTGAAACACCGCCACAATTAACTAATAAGTGTAATAGCAGCTGTACTCCCACCAGCACGGTTTCGTTTTATTATTCAAATATTCAGTTGCGCTGGGTAGCACCTCTCGGAGATGAAGTTTAATTCAGTGAGGTGGAAAATGTCCCCCCACTGCCCCTGGCAGCCACTGCTGCAGCACAGGTACAGCCACAGGAGCAGCCCTGGTGCTGGGCAAAGCAAGGATGGGGCAGAAGAGAGCAGCCCCAGGGTCCTGCGGCCCCCGGAGTGCCGGGGCAGAGCTGGGTGAGGGGGTTTTCAGCTGATATAAGAAGCTTATCGGGCCGATCCAGGTGGTGAGATCCCCGTTGGGACTCGTCCGACTGAGACCCCTGGCTGTAGGTATCTCTCCAGCTGGCAGCATCTGGGGACATTGGTCACAGCAGTATCACCTGGAGTGGGATGCAGGTGAAGGGGAGCAGGGAGGGGCACCAAAACTCTCTTCTCCTCCCTTTCCATCTGGAGAGTCAGCAACAAACACCGATTTTCAACCCTAAAAAAAAGAGCCGATACAAAACAAAGCAGCGCAGTGGTTTGGCAGCGTGGCCTGAGGTTTGTGCTGGTGATCTCTGAGTCACAGTCGGGCACCGACCCCGATGGGAAGGCAACCTCCAGCAGGACAGGTCTGCCTGGGGACCCTGTGAGCTCCCTGCCCTGCTCCCCACAGGCGCATCCCGTGCGAGCCCACGGCTGGTGGGGCTCTGGAAGCGCTTTGCCCTGAGCCTGGAGCTTCCCCTGCTCCCGGCACGGCTCAGAGCCGGGGGGAACCAGCAGCTCCTATGGCAGAAGAAATAGTGCCATCTGCTGACATTCCCATTCCGTTCCTCGAAAGCCAGGGGTGCTTATCTCCCCCCGTGATCGGCCTTTGGGGTCGTGCCAGCCTGAGAAACACCCGCACGGGGCCGTGCTGGAGGGGCATCCACGCAGGTGAGCCCTGGGGTGTGCGGGCACCTGAGACCCCCCCAGACATCCAGGGTGGTCCCGTGGTTACTGGGAATGCAGACCCCAAGAACTCCTGGGAGAAGAGCTGGAGGGGAAGGTGCTGGTCACAGCCACCCAGCAGGGTTTAATTAACCCCTTCACAGCAATTAATGAACGCAGTGAAACCCCTCCAAGAGGCTGCTCTTCAAGGGACATCCCCCATCCCATGCAATTCCTTAGTACAGCTTCCTCCACCCTAACCTGTGGTCCTACCACCTGTGATTCTTTGGGGTGCTGGAGTTACTGGGACTCCCAGAGGAATTACTGGAAAACAGCCCTTGGCTGGTATGGTGAGAGCTCAGATTTTTTTTTTTTTCATGAACCCTCCCAAAATCACAAAAGCCTCAGCTCCCATACAGGTCCCTGGGAGGTAACTGCATGCATTTAGCATGATGGCCCCTGCTTAAGTTCCAGACCAGATATAAGGAAGAGATTTCTTTTACACGGAGAGTGGTGAGGCACTGGCACAGGCTGCCCAGAGAGGTAGTGGATGTCCCATCCATGTAAATATTCAGGTCAGGTTGGGCAGAGTCTGAGCACCCTGGTCTAGCTGAAGATGCAGGAGAGTTTCAGCCAGATGACCTTGAAAGGTCCTTTCCAACCTGGACTATTCTCTGGCTCTATGATACATTTATATATGTTATATGGATTGGGTCTATGTTACACCAGGACAAGAGATGTCACTTGTCTCAGGCACTGGCAAGGCAAAGGTCACTGCTCATGTCCAAAACTGCTGGGAGAAACTCTTCCCTGGGAGCGCCTTTTCCCACACAGCGAGACACGAGGCGCCAGGCGGGAAGAACCCTGTGACAGGGAGATGGTCCCACCCTGCCACCTCCCCAGGGACAGGTGAGCTGCAGGGGACCAGGCTGAAGTGAGAACCTGGTGGAGCTCAGCCTGGGAATGGCCCGTGGAAAGTAAAGCTGCTGATTTGCTGATTTTCCAAGCTGACCTACCAATGGCAAAACCATCAAAGCAAGAGACACATTCCTGAGGTCTGACCCAGCATGGCAAAGTCAAGGAAAGATTCCCACTGAACTCAACAGCCACTGGACTGCGGCCACAACACTTACGTATAGCCAAGACTTATTTATTATTTTTCCCCCATGGTTTTAATCAAGACTTCATCCCACTAGGACTCTGTCTCATCCTGCAACAAGGAAGTCAAATTTATCCTACAGAATCATTTTAAGACAATAGATAACCAAATATATACAGTTAGACATATTACCGTGTAGTTATAAATATAAAAAGCACATATATATTTTATATACATACAAATAACCTCTTAAACTAGAGGCCAGCATAAAAAACAGAGTAAACACTGTAATAATTTCAATTATGCAACATATTCTGCCTAACATATTTATTTTTAATGGCAGTCATTTTAATAGCTCTAAGGCCCTGAATTAGTCCAATATGTTCTTAACTATGTTCACTTTAAATACAAATGTTAATGGCTTTTCCAGAGGGTCCAGTGCCCTGGATGAGCTTGCTACACAGCAGTATATTCTCCTTAGCGTGTTTACTTTTAATAACAGGTTTAATGATGCACTTGGGGCCTTAATAACCATGTTTAGTCACAAAGAGAAAAACCAGCTACAAAATACTTTCTCTAAAAACTAGGCTACAGGGGATTGCCGCTCTGTTTCAAAGCCACACCAGCCATCCTTTAATGTGCCTCTATGTGTTTTGGCTCTGCCTGCATCCAGGCTGGGGAGTATGGCCATGGAGGAGCAGCCCTGATCAATTTTTGAGGCTGGTTTTGGGGTGACTTGGGGACCCTGCGCAGCAGCTGAGCTGTTCAGGGTAAAGGACCAAAGGTGGCCTCACCTTCTCCCACCCCCGGTGCTCAGTGGTGGGTTTGGGGAGACAGAGGGCAAATTTCAAAGGAAGGTGTTCCCGGGCTCCAGCAGAGGCATCCTGGGGCTCTCACCGACGCTGCTGGCACAGACGTGCCAAAGGGAACGCGTTTGAAAAATCACACCCACCACCCATTAAAAAAAAAAAAAAATACAACAAAGCACCAAAAAGCACCACCAACAACTACAAAACCCCACCTCCTACATTTAGCTTTATGAGAGCTAGAAATACCACCATTAAGAGGCAGGCAGGTGACAGCTGCTCTCTCTTTTCCTGCCCAGATCAAGCTGTGGACCTGCAGCCCCACTCGTGTCAGCCCTCCCGGCTGGGTCTGGGGGCAGGTGGGACCCCCGGGGCACATCCATCCCAGCAGAGAGCCATTCCAGCTCCCCAAAAGAGATTCACCCGGTGGTGTGGCTGGCAGGGCTTCTCTCCCGGCTGTGTCCAGACCTGTCCAAGCCCAGAGCTGTGTCCGGACCTGTGAAATCTCGCATGGCCGGGGGATGCTCGGAGCTGCCTCCATGACCTGCGGGCACAGGACCAGCCTAACCCATCCCTCTCCATTCCGACTGAAAGGTCACCCCCCACAGGGTGTCACAGCTGTCCCCAGTGTGCAGCAGGTCCCCTACAGCGTGTGCTGGCAGGGCTGGAGATACCCCAGGGGCAGCACACTTCTCCCTCCGTGCAGAAGCATTCTGGGCCGTGCATCTTGCACCAAAAAAAAACCTTATGGTTTGTCCTAAATATAACCACGGCAGACTTTGCCAGGCTTCAGCTCCACTTGCATGAAAAACACTTGCAAGGCTTGAACCAGCTCTGGTTTGTCTACCTTCTGCCCCAGGGCCTGACTGAAAAGGGAGGGTGGAATCCAATAGCATGTTGTGCATAAAAAGATTATGCCAAAGATAACCTTATTGCTAATAATAACCCTGGAATCTATCCTGTGAATAGGCCCTATTGAATGCTTAAACACAGGCATTCCTCGGTTAGGTTTTTCTGCCTACAAATATTTCACTTGGGTCTTTAAATACTAATCACAGAATTCAGACGAGGGGGTTTTTATCTTCAAAGTGCTGCAGAAAAAAAAAAAATTAAAATTAATTCATTAATCAAGTATAATTAAAGGGTATAAAAGATGCCTTTTTCCAGAGCAGGGAGCCAACCAGCACAGCGTGAAGCCATCGTGGGGACTCCAAGCATCTTTCCCACCGCAAACGTGATTTTCCCGGAGCGGCGCCCGGGCAGTAGCTGTGCTTGTTCCCAGCAGCTCTGCTCAAGCTGTCTTCCTGACATGTGTTAGGCTGTATGTCTGCCACGCAGGAAATAGGGTTTGAAGCTCACAGCCAGGAGCAAAAGCTGAGATTGAAGCTTTAATGAAGCTGGGATTGAGTGGCTAGGGTGGTTCAGTGAAGCAGTAAATGCAAACACATTATCACCTGAGAACTTGCTCCAATTTCACACCAATTAACTAGGAATGAGAGAGGAGGGCTGGGGCTGGCTGCAGAGATGGTTGATAATCCTGTGAATGGGCAGAAATGGCTCGAACGAAAACGCGCTTGTGCCAAAACGAGTTTGTTAGATAACGCCAGTCCCGGTAATTTTGTCTTTGGGAGAGAGCATGTCATTACTGGAGCTGCTTTTATTAGCAAATATTAAAAACATTTGCCGAAATACAGTTGCCCGTGAGGGAAGCAGGGGTGGATAAAGCAATAGCTGATTATTTTATTCCTCTGCCAATGCGTCACATCACAGGGCAAGGGAAGGGAAAAAGGGAGAGGGAGAAGTGGGATGGGATGTGAAGGATTATTGGGGCAAAGTCGGCAGCTCATGGAGGGGAATATCCCATCCTCGAGGAGCCCCTCAGGATGCTCATTCTGGATTTCAGGTGGGTTTGACTTCTAATCCACTGCCAGCAGATGTAGGTCTGAACAGGTCCCCAAAATTCACCTTGGCAGCAGTGACGGGGCCCATCCCCGTCCCCTCCACCCAGGAGCCAGTTCATCTTCACTGCATTTTAATATTTGAGTTGTTCCAAATTTTTTCCCTGCCGTGATTATTTCCATTTTAGGAGTTCAGGTGGAAGAAAGGCAGCACTTTAGGGGAAGTGCTGTTAAATGGATTTCCATGGATTGAATGCTAAAACAAATCCCACCCTCGGTGTGCCAGGCCCCACATCACCCCTCCAGTCACTGCAGGTTTCAATGTCTGGGAGCAACCAGCCAGATCCTCCAGATCCACACCAGCCATGAGCCATCCTGCAACCAGGAGGCTGCACTGGAGCAAGCTCTTGGATGTAAATGAAATATTGTTTTTGTTTTAAAAAGCATCAGTGATAAGAAGTTACTGCAAGTACAAAGGCAAGAACCCCCTGCTGGGTTTTGTGGTGACACAAGGGGCTGGGGAAGATCTCAGGAGAAATTCTGTGTTGTGTCGTGACCCCTGGGGAAGGTCTGTGCCCCAAGAGGGGTCCTCAGTGCTGCCCCAGCTCTTCTGTGGCGAGGCAGCTTCCAAGAAGTTGTTTGATTCCTGAGAGCTGCCTGCCCTGCCCTCCAGCAGGAAGCTCTAACAAAATAATTGCAAGAAAGGTGCAAACAGAGGAAAAGCAGTCACTGCAAACCTCTCACTCAATATTGAATTACTCCAGGCTACGGGAGGGGCAGAGATAGCTCCCTTTAAAATCAGGAAAGTGTTTTCCCCGGTGATGAAGGCTGGATAGCCAGCAAGGGACCAGGACAAACCATAATACAGTAAAAAACCCAAGTATGGTCCACCCCATTAAGAGCCAAGGAGAGTGCTGGGGCTGGCTGCTGCTCCTCATCTCTAAGCAAGGTGGGCCCTGGATGCTCCTTACCCCACTCTGAGCCTGATTTTCAGCATCCTGCTCACTTCAGGTCCTCATTCCCTTCTGAACAGATGTGGGAAGGAGGAAAAAGCTGCAGCTTAAATAAGCAAGGGTCAGTAACTGCCGAGCCAGGTGCATGAGTATTCTTTCCCCAGGGCAAGTAGAGTGGGGGGCAGGGGGACACCTTGTTCTAGCTGTTCCAGCCATGGGAAGTGGAGATCTGTGGCCTTCCCTGCTTCTGGCATGCAAACCACTCTCCCAAGCAGGAAAAACACTTCCAAGTGGCAGATATCCCATTCCATACACAACGGTGCTCCCGAGCCCCGGTGCAAATCCACAGGGCTCTTCCTGTCCGCGCTCTCCAGCCTGTAATTATCTTAAAGGCAACAATTAAAACTATTGAAACACATGTGATGGGTTTAGGGAGCATAGCTTGGCTAATCCCCACAAGCATCCCGGAGGAGCGGAAGGAAGCAGGAGTTCCCAGGGTGCTGGTGCTTTGCCGGGCAGGTAGGGACCAAGAGGAGCTGCAGGGCATCAAGCTCAGGGTGAGGAGGTGGCAGCAGCCTGGTCCCCAGGCACTGGGAGTCCCCCAGGTGGCAGTGACCAGGCTGGGGGAGCTGCAGGAGGGTCCCCCTGCTCCTCACCTCGACCCTTCCCAGGGTCACACAGCAAGTCAGTGGCAGAAAGACCCCATACTCAAAACCTGCTGTTTAAGCTCTGATTGCAAACTTCAATACCAAAATATTTCATCTACCTTTTCCCATGTCAGTCCAGGACTTAGCACAGTGAGTCCTGTTCCATTCCCTGTGTCAGATACCAAAATAAAGCCATGTTCAGACACAGCCCCTTCTCCCTTTCCCACTTCTTTTACTGCAGCATCATGCTGCTGATTCATTTAATGAGAAAAAGTTCTGCAAATACCTGTGATGCTCTGCTTGAGGGGTCCCAAGGCAAGAGCAATGAGATAAATAGTGAGGAATTCACAAAATATCACTGACCTGTGCTCATCACTTTTTAATTTATTTGTTTTTCAGGAATCATTAGTTTCACTATTTTTCTCCAAGCATCACCCTCCTGGAGCCACATTATATTTGACTTTCTGCTCTGCTTTCTTTAAGAGTTGGTTTCTAACCTGCCTTAAAAGTGCTGAACCAGCTTTGGGAGCCTGAAAATGCAGGGAACTACAGAGCAAAAAAGAGAACACAAACTCTTTGTTCTCAGTATCTCGTGATCTTAAAGTGCTCGGGGTGATCTCAGGGGTGTCAGGGCAAGGACAGAGCCACACAGGGCAGCTGCTGCCTAGTCTTTTCCAGCCCTCTTGTTCTGCTTTTCATCTTCCCATAACACCTTCTTGTTGGTGATATGGTGTTGTAAATATTCCTAAAATTTGCAAAATTTCTACATTTCCTTCTTTTTCCCAAAACTGAAACATAATTTTTACCATTTGGGCTAAAAGCGAGTAATTTTGCTTAGATAAAAAACACCTTCTTTAAGGCTTTTTTTTTTTTTTTTTTTTTTTAGTTTCTGCTCAAAAGAAGCTCGTGTTTGCTGAAAAGAAAAAAAAATCTTTTGATTCAATTCAAACAAATTCAAACTCCTTTTAAATTAATTTTTAAATTTCTGAATGCTTACCTTTTCTTCCCTGCTTTTTCCATCCCATTTCTCCCCCATTCTCATTTTTAAAATGCAAATAATTGAGAAAAAATCCCTTCTGAGCCACTTCTGTTGATGCTGCCACCAACAGCCCCAAAGATGCTCCCAGCCCCATGCTCCCCTCACCAGGGACGGAGTTTGCAGTGTCCCAGACTCCTTCTTGTGCTCCCAGCTCCCTGTGGATACCTGTCCAGCTGCATCAAAATCACAAGACAGACACAGATATAGGGCTGAGGGAGACAGAAAAACCCATAGCAAATCCAGCCTTGGGTTGATAGGACCCCAAAAGGGCTGTAGCTGTTTTATGAACTGTGTGAGGAGTTATCAAGGGAGAAGAACATCACCCTGGGTGACCAAGGTGCTGCACTGCCCCAAATCAAGGATCCCCTCACAGGCAATGTGTCTGTCTTATATCCTCTGCGTATTTTTTACACAAATTATACACATCTCAGGTTATAAATTACTCAAATGCATAATTAAATGTTTCCATTCACAAAAAAAAAAAAAGTATCTGCAGCTGTTGAACACAGAAACCTTTCTTTCATGGGCCATCTCTAACCAAGGCATCCTCTGAGTGAGCTGCATCTTCCCCCACCACTCTCATAAGCTGCACAGCAGACAGCCATTGTCTTTCCATGTATTTATTGATTAACAGCAGCATTTTAGAGAAGTGAAGCCCAGTTGCCTTTAAGGACAGAAAAAATTTGGGCTTAGGTGTCATTCAGTGTTGTGGGCAAATGGGAAACTTTATTTGGTGGTTGCTTTGCATCATGTGAGCGTCTGACATTTTATTTGCATTTCTAGAGGGCTTTAGTCTATTTGAAGCTGGGAAAGGGAGAGGGCAGCAGGGCTGGGGAGAGCTCCAGTCTCCCTGAGCAGCACACCCTAAATTGGGAGAATAATAATGACCAGAAGAGCAGCACAGGGATGGGCATTTACAGCAGAGCCTGGTTTTTCACAGCAAGAGTGAAAAAAAACTGGGGAAAGAAAGAAACAAGTGAGAGGGATGGAATCCTATCTCCAGCTACTCAGATCAAAATGTTCATAAGGCAACAAGTTTCTTCTGGGCATGGTGAATGCATCAGGAGGATGTTCAGCAGCCTGTGTAGCCCAGAGATCAAACAAAGTGATCTCCTCTGCCTTTTAAATGTAGGAAGCTGAAAGATCTTAAGGGCAAATAAACTTACTTTGATTGCAGGGCTGAGATCTTGGAAGTCACATTCCTTTAATTTCCTTGGGCTGGTTGCCTTCCCTGTCAAGGACATGCACAGGATAGTGAGTTTTCAATGGAAACTGGTTTTGCCTCATTTTCCACTTCTCTCCTGTTACAAGGAAAGAAGTGCAAAGCTCCAGAGGCCTACCTGCCTCTTCCTATGCAGACAGAAAGGGCTGGGTGTCTGTTTTTAATTACAGCCTGAAAGAACTGCATTTAAAAGACAACAGAAAACTATTTAATTAATACTTATCATTAGCACACATAGGAATGCCTAGCAGCAAATTGCAACAACAAAGCAATTCCTTTTTACTTTTTTTTCCTTGCACTTTGGATAAATTAAAAAAAATAAAATAAGAGTAAACAAATGATTTGCACCACGTTTGAGATGACATTTTTCAGAGTGAGAGTAGTAGGATAGCAGGTGTCACCCCAGGAGAGCAGAGATGTCTGAGCAGCCTCCTCCATCTCCAGTTTTTCAGTCTCCAGCTCTCTTGGCCAAGAAGCTTATCTTCATCCATCCATCTATCTATCCTTCTATCTCAGCATTTACACCGGGCTCATCCCCATGTCTGAGCGCCTACTTGTCTTCATACCTGTCCATAAATTACATGGGGCCCCCAGGGCATTATAAATAATAATTCAGCTCCCAAACCTTCAGAACACTGTTTTAAAGCATTGGCTTATAATTCACCACGTTGTGGGCTCCTCCCAGCTCATAAATGGAGTAGAAGGACGTGACAGCCCAGGCAGTGGAGTAATTGTCCAAAGATCAATTCATTGTGTAGCCACGAGCTGGAAGATGGGGATGGACATTGTGACAAAGCACAGGGGAAGGCTGGACTGCTCTGCTCACGGGAAAGAGACTCCTCACCCACAGCTCCTTCAGGATTTTATATTCCTTACAATTTTATCTCAGGCAGAGTAGCAGTCATCCCATGTCCTCCTTTAGCTAATAGATCTCTTAATGGCACTCCTGATGATTGGAGTGTTGAACCACAGCACAGCTCTGCTGGCACATGAAGTCCCCATGGGGCACGGAGGCAGATGGCTTAGAGGGTAGATCCCAACTGTAGTCCAACACATCCCAAAGCACATGAGGACAGGCACCCCAATCCCTTGTTGGATACACCAACTACAAATGAGTTTGGCTCAGGACAGCAAGTTGCTTTGGTACATGTGAGTTATTGAGTAGAAACGCCAGCTGAGCTATGGCCCTATTCCTCTATCTCAACACACTGCATCTCCATCCCAATAGATTACTTTCTCCTTGAGGTAGGAGTTGGGAACATGTCCCAGCCATGTCCCTCAGTGGGGGAATACAGTGTCCCCATGGAGTATGGTCACCATTTGGTGGGCATCACTCTCTCCTGGATAACATGTGAGACAGGCTTGGGGTCAGGGACCTGAAACGGGAATTTATGCTGGAGAAAAGCAAGAGCAGTTGATATATGAGATCAATTATTTGACAAGCCTGTCCTGGATTTGTGATCAGCTCTGGAAGGTGCAATACCATTAACCCGGGGAATATGTGAAGTTGCCAGAGCCTGCAGCCACCCATCAGTGTTGGGTGAGGAGGTACCATTTTTTGTGTGACTTTCCTCCCTCCATTTTCCATCTATCAAACCAGGCTGATCTTCCCTCTCAGTCAGAGACCCAAGGATGAGCAGGCAGAGCCCCAAGCACCAGTTCTGGGGACAGAGTAGGAGCTCCTGGTGTGAGAGTGGCCACTGATGCCATGGTCCCTGAGCAGCTGGTGGGACAAAGCACACCCATGGGGCCAGGCTCATTCCCACATCCCAGGCACCGGGCTGGCACACGTGGCTGTGCATTGCCCTTTGTGGGAGCACAGCCCCCTGCAAGGCAAGCCTGTCTTGCTCCCTCTGCCTTGGCTCCAGGCATGGAACAGGCTTTTCCTGCTGTTCTTCTGCTCCAGAGATCTCAGAGAGGGTTTCATAGTGTCCTGCCCTGAAAAAAGTCTGATTTGGGCTGGGGGAGATGTAGCATCCTCACCCCATAAAGGGTACCCTCAGGGATGGCTGAGAATTAAACTCCTTTTCACCCTGCAATGAGGCTGGACCCTTTACTCATCCTACTGCTTGAGGGCACTGGGATGGGAGCATGGAATGTATTCGTCACGCTTTCTGCTTGCAAAACACACGAGGATTTTGGCAGGCTGCAAGTCCAGCCCCACTCATCCCATCCTTCACAGTGCTCCCAAGTGAGGGGTTGGGGTACTGCCAGCCAGGTTTGCAACCGGTCACTTGGGTGCAGACCTGGTTGTAATTTCAGGCCTCTCTCCTCTCCCAGGGTGTCTTGAGATATGATTAAGGGCTAAATTGCAACTGAGCCTGGCTGAGAACAGCAAGATTTGGGGAGGCAGCTGTTAAGGGCAGTGGGGTCCAATGAGCATAACAACTGCATCAATGAAAGGGGAAGCTGATCATGGGGGACAAAAGGAATTGGGAAGCTTCTTATTGCCACCCCCAGAGATGTCCTGCACCACCCCCAGTGCAAAGCCATGCTTTGGGGAAAGGTTATTGGTGAGGATGAAGGTGCTGCTTAAATGAGAGGTATTTTGCTGGTTTGGCTCTTAAAGAAGGGTAAATGATGGCCTCATGAAACATCATTCCTGGACCCCACCTCCCAGCTGCTCAATCCATGCAAGTAGAGCTGTTAGCATCAAAAACATCCAAGTGCTGTGGGTTTTACATCATTCTCAGCTAAGCTGTTTCCCTTATCCCTGTTAATTGAGATGGGGCAGCCTCAGCCCTCACCCTGGAGGAGGCACAGGTCCCTCCTCTCCTGCAGGGTTTCGGTGGGATGGAAGGAGGTGGCACAGAGCCAGCTGTGCTGGAGGGAGCCAAGGAAAAGGCTGCCTGGATGCCAGCGAGGCAGTTAGCAGCCCAGGCCAAGCTTCCCACTCTTCCCGCACATTCTGCAACATCCCAAGCTGAATCACTTCACAGAATTTACTTTTACCCTGTTAAATGCCACTAAACCTTCAAATTAATCCTCCCATTACAGGACTTCCTTTGATGTCAAAGGGGGAATTTTTTTTTTTGATGGCAAAGGGGGATTTTTCCCCCCTGGTATAATTATTCCTATTTTTCTTCCCCCTTTTTTAGGCACAAGAGATTCCTGCCAGATGCATGACTTGTGGAGGCAGCTCCCACACAAGGTATTTATGTATTTATATGTATATGATGAGAACGTGGCATTGAAAGACCTGAAGTTTCAGGCAGAAGATAAAGGGAATTTCCCATTTCCTACTTGTTAACAGTGGAAGTTGCCTGGGAAGAGTCTGAAGCAGGACTAGGACCAAAAGCTGTGAGATACAGTACTGGAAAACAGCTCTTTAATATAAATGTGTCCAGGGAAAACATCTGCTATTTCAAACTATCTCAGAGCAAGTCTCAATGCCTGGGAACAATCCCTGTCACTGCTTAAATTACAGGGATGGGTAAAGTGGATCCACTCCACTCTTGTATGTGTTTCTTATTGAGCATCTTGGGTGCTATTGGGATTGCTGGGCGGAACATCCCAGCACAGAGCCAGAATCACTGGATAATGCTCAAGAGGCAGGCAGCTGTGGGTCGTGCTATGACAGCTTTCTGTAACAGCCAGCAATGATGGAACAGCCAGGTTTGCTCAGAGTTTCAATCAGGTTTTATGATTTATTAGGAAAAAGGAATACAATTGCATTGCTCTTTACTGAAATGAAATTGTCATATAATTGAACTCTTTACTGAAAGTCTTATAAGATAGTCCAGTTACACAGGGAAGTGAATTCTTGCTAATACATCATTGCATGGAGACTTCCAGCATAAGACAGGGCTTTTCTGGGAGTGGAGAAGGAGCCCTGGGAGGCATTGTTCAGCTGTGCTCAGTAGCCAGGTCTGTGTGACTACCTGCCCTAGGGTGCAGACTGACCCACCTGTGCCTCCCACTGCTGTGCCACAGCTTCAATCCGGCCCCAGAGCACCTGTGTCCAGTCCTGTCCCCGCTCCAGGGGAGTGGACCTGGTCTCCATTGCTGTCAGGGCAGAGATTTCAGGGGGGATCTGGGGAGCCAGGCCAGCTCGGAGAAGGGCATCCTGAAATTTGGCTGCAGAGGCTGGAGCCAAGCAACAGCGGGGCATGCTGGAAAGGAAAGACAAGCAAAGAAAGTTTATGGTGTAAGCAAGCTGGGGCTGGAGATGCTGCAGGAGCAAGGGGATAGTGATGGTGCAGGCCCTAATGCTCCTGACCATGGCTCTCCCTACCTGTGTGGCTGTGAGTAGTGGTAGTGAGCAGCCACAGCAGAGTGCGGGCACAGCAGGTACTGGTTCTCCTCCCAGCAGCGCCGCATGGCTCCCACAATGTCCTGGTCAGAGGCTGAGCATGATCCCAGGGTCTCGGAGAGCTGTGGGGAAACAGGGAAGTTCACACAGGGCTCCACCACCCAATGTGTGCCCAGCTGGCTTCGTGCTACAGGCACTCAGCAAAGCAGGTGGAAGTAGAGAGGCTGGAGGATGGGTTCCCCCAGAGACTGAAGGAAAAGGGGTTGCTGCTGCAGCCTGGGGATGAGGCACTGCTGGAATAAACCACAGGGATGGAGTGTGGGCAAGGGGTTTCCATCCACAGGTGCTATGAACACGGGTGAGCAGGAGCCAGGGCTCAGCTCCTCACCTCTGCACTGCTATTTCCACGCTCTGAGGGACTTTCAAGGACTTGTAAAATCTACCTCAGTGTAACAGCTCTTCTTGTTTTTAATAATAAAATTGTTTAGCATATCTTTCTGCAGCACAAGCAGGAGCAGGCACTGGGCAAAGGCTGCTCTGTGAGGGAGAGCACACTGGAAATTGGACAGGAAAAGGCAGGATTTTGCCTCTGGCCCTCTCACAACTCAAATCTTTGTTTTTCTCTTGTATCTCTTTCTGCTTTGGGTCTGTGCTCCCCTTTGCTGTAAAAGCAAGGCTGAATTGCACCAAACTCAGCAGACCCACTCCCAAACACTCAATTTGTGCCAGCATCCACTGTAAAATGCCTCAGTGCATGGCCAAGGATTGGCCAATTACATATGTTACCTAAATAACTGCAGATATTTTTTAATTTACTTTCATGAAGAAGAAAGAGCATTCTTAAAAAAAAAAAAATCAAACAAAAACAAAAGGGGGTTTTCAGTATCTCCATGCACACACATTGATATAAAACTTCTGTTCCGGACTCATGCTTAAATTTTCAGTTGTATACTCTCCACTATGATTTTTTAATTCTGAAAATGAATGGGAAATGCCTGGTAGCAATAATCTCCTTACACACACAAACACAGGCACAGTGTTGTATGGATGAGGAACTGACCTTTCTGTGCAAATCCTCTGGCAGCTTCAGCCTTTTTGAGATGTTGAATTGCTCCATCAGAGTTTTTATCAGGAGGCTGTCAGAGCCTGAGAGCAGCCAGAGGATCCTCTCCACATTGTAAGGCTCCTGGGATAACAAGGCAAGAGGTGAGGAAATTTAAACGGTGGAGGGAGGCATCCTTGTGGATTCTCTGATGTCTCATTAGGGCTGAGGTCCTACCACTGTTTTTCTTGGTGGAAGCCAGGTGGGCTTTTTGTCTTCCCTTTGCTCACCTACATCCCAGGACAAGTCTTTGGGAACACAATGTCTTTTGAACCTCTGACCTGTCAGAGCAGTCTGACAGTGACCATCAGATTAAAACAGAAAATGAAGGTATAGCTGATGAATCAACAGCTTGACCACATCTGTACCATCACTGTGAGGAGCCCAGGCTAATAACACACTGTGTATTGGAGAACCAGACATATCCAGCTGTTTACTCAGTGTTGCAGATGCTGCTGTGAGTCACCCAGCTCCTGCGTGACTTAATGAGACACCCAGCTCGCTGCAGGGCTGCCTGATAATCTCCATGAATTTATAGGGCACATATAGGGCCTGACTGGCCTATATGGCTGTGTAGCAATCAGCATTGCAACACTGCAGCAGAACTCTGTGCAAGACCATACAGGAGGGTCCCAAACCAACTTCTCTGCCTTGTCTCATTCCTGCACATTTACAAGCACCAAGAAATATTCATCCAGGTGGTTTGGCTGAGACACCTTGTAGGGACAGACAGGACAAGAGCACCAATTTACAGAGCCCTCATCTCACCTCCTGGGCTCAAGTGCTGGGTTTGGACAAACTTCATAATTTTTAGCAGCTGACAGTACCTGTGACCTTTTGTCACTCCATTGTGTCCTACCTTGTCGAGTCATCAGGACTTACTCAGCCTTTTGTGTCCTTATCTGGTGTCTTATGGGCTCAGCTCTGTTCCTCATCTTCCCACCATCATCTCCCGGAGCCTCCAGCCTCTAATCTTCAGTCTAGTCTGGGTGTATCCTGCCCTTTGCTCTAGGCTGTCCCCTGTTTTAGGCTGTCCTGAGAAGATACAGGTCAGTGTGCCTGGACTTCCATGACCTGCTCCTGGATGTGCCTCCAACACTGTGCTCCTGACACCCTTTCTCCTGTCCTTCTTTCTGCTGCTCCCACATCCTTCCCACATTCTTCCCACATTTTCCCTTCACCCTCCATTCCCACCAGCCTTATGGCTTCCATTACAGAACACTATGTTGACACCAGTAAGTTGAACTGGGCCAGGGTACTGGTGAAGTACCAGCCTCACCATCTAAGGCTTTTGCTTCTGTCCCACACCACCAGAGGTCTCCAGGAGAATGTTGGGGCCCAGTTTGGAGGCCAGGTCATGCTGGGGACAAAATTTTTGGAGTGTGGATATGAGTTCTGTGGCTCTTTCTGACTTCAGGGACAGAGAAAAGCCCCTGTCTGGATGCAGAGACACGGTGTCTGCTGGGATTGTCCTGGGATTGCTCCTTGCAAGGCTCATCCACACCAGACTTTCTGCTTCACCTTCAACTCTTCACGCAGCATGTAACAGGAAAGTTTTCTCTGCCTTATCTTAGTCTGTAGAAGCAGCAACCTAAGGAGGCTATGCACTCTCCATCTTTGAAGGTTTCCAATACCCAAACGGACAAAGCCCTGAGCAATCCCACCTGACCTCAAGGGTGAACCTGCTTTAAACAAGTCCCAAACAGAGACCTCCTAAATTCCCCTCCAGAACAAGTGCTCTCTTTAGCTACAGAAATATTTGCATGGATGCTTCAGATGTGAGCGAACAGTGACACCCCATGCAGACAAGCAGAGAAATGTGCAGAGGGATTCACTCATCTAGCTCCTCAGGAATCTCAGGAAATCCCCTCACCTGACTCTGCCCCCAAGATCCCAAAGTCTGGCACTTGCTGACCAGTGCTACTGAAGGGAGATGGGCTGAGAGAGAAGCTAAGTTACTCCTGGAGCTCTGAGAAGCCCCACAAGTTCCTGGCTCAGGAGGAAAGCCAAGCTGCAGAGCACAGCCTGCTGAAAGGGACATGGTGACTGCAAAGCATAACAGTCCCTCCAGACTCCTAGGTCCTTCCAGTGTGTTTGAACAGCTTTTGGAAAATCCAGGTAACTTAAGGCCACAGAGATACAACACCAAGGGTTTCCCACTTTGATCACTTGTTTGGAAGCAGATCCAATCCCTGGGGATCCCAGGGTGGGAATGAAAAGGGAGGTATGTGCTTCCAGGTGTTTGGTTTCTGTACCTCCATGACTTTACTTTCCAAGGCCTTTCCCTGCCTGCTGGGACTTGTTTTGCTCTGAGCAAGCTGCAGGCAGCCATGAACAAGGCATTTCTTCTGGACTTCTCTACCTCCTTCCTAGTCTCTTCTCTTGCTCTTTGTGGAGCTTTTCAGAAGCATCAACAAAACCCTTGTGACATGACGGCATTTTTACTTCTTTAGTTGTCACATGTTGTAGAAATGTCCCTGTCTTGCTAAGCTTGCACAGAATGATCCCCAGAAACCCAGAACTCAACAACGAAGATCAGAAAGTCAGACCCCGAAAAGTGAGGGAGAAGGAGTTTGATCTATCTCAGCTCAGCAGTCTGTAGCATAAATGGTCAATATGAGTCACACCTCCTAATGCATCATTGAGTGGCACAATTTGACAGGCAGAACAGAGTACAAGATTAAAAAAATAAAAAACAGCAATATTTTCTATTTTTGCATTTTGTCCAGTTCACTACATACCTGGATATCCATGGCTGATGCTAACGTAGCCTTCACACTCCCTGCCAGTGAGAAATCTCCATGCTGAACAGTCCTATGAATGATGTCATTGCTGTTCACCACAGTAACAAGTCTAATTGGCAGACCCATTTTCTGGGCAATACAGCCAGCTAGGGAAAAAAAGTGAAAAAAATGCATGAGTGCTTGATGAAGAAACATTTGAAGAAGATTTAGCAAAGAAATCATCGTACAAATTGATTGAGCATCCAGTTCAGAAGCAGGCACAAATGATATTCCCTAGTGGACTCAGATATCTGACTTCACTGATTTGGTAGAACACAGATTATAAAATCCAGGGATGCAACGCTCCACATGCCATTGAACACAGACCCTTGCTCATCTCCACTTTTGCTGGTGGACAGGCAGAGAACAGAGAGTTCAGGCAGCTGACAGGCAAGCAGGAGAGATGAAGATTTTGGACTTTTGCCTCTCTGATGGCAGCCTGGAAGAGCAGTGAATATATAAAATCCTTTACTGCTTTCATAAGACAGTTCTACACCTATTTTGGGACTGAGGCAATCAAGGACTCTCATTTAGAAGGCCAGATTATGCAATTAAGAATGGTTGTCCTGACCATGCATTACCACGCAAACCAGAGAGGACCAGGCAGGACTCCACACCTCTGTTAATGTCTCACTTAAGAAATCAGAGCCACAGCATTTTCCCTCTTTTCTGCATCAAACGCATTCTGTCCTCTCCTAATGTGCCCATCCTCAAGATAGTTACAGTCATCATCAAAGAGTGGTTTGGGTTTTTCTGCACCTTGCAAATCATCAGTGACACCTAAATTGAGTAATAACCATATATGAGTAATAAAATATAAGTGGTTCTGAAGAAATCCTACCAGAGAGTGGGTGTTTTAATAAATAGTAATACCCAGTATCTGCAAAGTGCTTTTGGTCCATAGATCAGAGCATTCTCTCTCTCTTATCTAACCCATCTCTTTTTCCCTTTACCCGTGATATTTCCTCCTCCTCCCGTTGGCACAACAATTTCCACCATTGGCAGCTGGGTGGTATCCAGGGATGGGGTGCACTGAAAGTAAGCATAGAAGTAGTGGGCAATCTGCACCATAATCCTGGACCAATTGACAGAATTCAAGCTCATCAGGTTGTATTTTCCAGCAAAATCGACATCAGCAAACAGTTCCTTGATCGGCTCATCGATTTCATCGCTGTTCCCATGAGCTGTCAAAAGGAGAAAGGAAAGATTAGATCTGCCAGCAGCAGTGCATCAGGCACGAGGTATTTCTGCTCAGAAGTAGGGTTGGACTCAAGCCCTGGGGTTTGCTGTGGCCAGGAGGTGCCCATCTGCCCTGGGGGGTGTGTGAACAGGGCCTGAGTGGCACCCTGTGGATGTCAGGTGGTTTCTGCAGACACAGCACTCTGGGCTCTTGCTTCTACCAAATATAAATTTGCCGGAAAGGCAAATGCTGCATCCCCTTGTGAGATGCCAAGGTGAGACCAGGCTGAGCAGAGGAGTCCATGGGAACTCAAGCAGCCCAAGCACCCAGTGGTGATGCCAACCCACGGGGACGGCACAGTGGTAGGAGGTGGATCACCCATGAAGGCAAGAGGACAGAGGGAAGGGGTGGCTCCAAATCCTTTTAGTGACAAAAAGTGGTGCTAAATTTAGTTCAGCCAAACACCAACCACCTTCAGGGAGGCAGCTCTGATCTACAGCCAGGAGAAAAAAGAAGCCTTAAACTGCTTGGTTGTCAAACTGAGGATGTTGTCTCCTGTTAGCCAGATGTCTGGGCATGGTAAGAGCAACGACCCAGTTGGCTGCGGCTGCTAAAGCTGCAAATCCCACTGAGTGGCCCCCTCAGACTTTTAGGGTCAAGGTTTTGACACAGCAGAGCCATAAAGTGGACAGTCCAAACAGCAGTGCCAACCAGCAAAGACATGGACGTTGTCTTCAATGACAGTGGTCATCTGAAGTTCCTGTATCTGGGTGCAGAACCCCTTGGGCAGCAGAACAAAGATGTCCACGTTCTTCTGCCCTCTCACGCTCTCGATGGCCGAGCTCCCCGTGTCCCCTGAAGTCCCTGTTTCAAAGTGAGAAAGCACCAAGAAAAGCAAAAAATTGCTGTGTCAATCAAACCTGAATCACTGCACTTTAAGAAAAAGATGCAGAGATGCTCCATGAGATGTTTTTGGCCAGAGCAGCCACTTTGGCATTGCCTGGAGATTATGAGGCAATACTATCCTGGGGCATCTTTGGGGAGGGCTGTAGGATGATGGCTCTCAAGGTAAAGGCCTGCCCAAGAACCTTACCTCCAAGGAGTCATACTCACCCACCAGAATATTGACATGCTTCTGCTTTTTCTCCAAGAAATACTGTAAAAACTGTCCAGTGCAGGACAAGGACAGGTCCTTAAATGCATACGTAACACCATGCCAGAGCTCCAAAATGTTCAGCCCATCTTTCAGCCTGGACATATGCACAACATTCTTGTGTCTGAATCTGCTGAAGGCCCTGTCGATCAGCTCTAGAGGGAAAATTATTAAATAGCCTGTTAAATGAAAGGAGTGTTTTTCTGACCCGTGGCTTCCTGCATCTGTGCTCTTTGTGCTCCTGGGCACCTTTCTGCACAACCAAAGGCTCTGTGCAGTGACAGATACCCCAAAAGTTATTTGTGGTTATTAGGAATGAACCAGCCCAGCTTCATGCTGTTTGATAATTCTGTGCTAAGTAATCCCAGAGGGCATGTCATACAATCAGAAAACTATATTAAAACATAAAATACAGGAAACCCGAGTTTTATACCAGTGTGCTGTTGAGACAGAGGTTGCAGCTGCCCTCTGGTGGAAAAGATAGCTCATAAGTGTTAAAAACATTTAAAAACATGTCAGGGCAAGCGTGAAGCAGCAGAAAGCCGTAGAGGGAGCCCCGGCAGTGAGCAGGGCCACAACATCAGCTTGTTGCTTTCACCAGAACCCCTATTTTTACACAGGGAACACCTTTTCCACTAGTGCCAGCAAGGTGACAGAGGAGAGCAGGCTACAGAAAGGAACAGGCAATGTGCAGCAGGCTACAGAAAGGGGCAGGAAATGTGCAACAGGCTACAGAAAGGGGCAGGCAATGTGCAGCAGGCTACAAAAAGGAGCAGGCAATGTGTAGCAGGCTACAGAAAGGGGCAGGCAATGTGCAGCAGGCTCCTTCTCTTGGGGGCTGTGAAGAGGATGGGGGAAAGGCAGGCAGAAGCATGCAGACCCCCTGAATCCTTGTCCACATCCCCACGAGCAGCTCCCCACTCAGCTCACCATTGAGCGCGTTCCGTGGGACCAGCTTGGCCGGAATGAAGAGTGAGCAGAGCTCCTTCACCAGCCCAGGGTAGGAGAGGCTGCTCCACCTTTGCAGGGTGTCCCTGTGCAGCGAGGGGATGTGCTGGGGCATGAAGAGGCCCCCATCGGGGGCATAGCCAGAGAAAAGGGCTCCCTCGAAGTCCACGGCCCTCGTGCCTCCCCGTGTGCTGACATACTCCATGGCTGCTGAGGAGGCACCGCAATCACTGCCAGCGACCCCAAGCACCCCCACACCAGGAACAGCCCCTCATCCCAAAAGAACTCCCTCCAAAACTTCCCCTGTGGGCAGAGAGAACTCCCCAGGGAACAAACCACCTCCTCCCACAGGAGGCTGGAGCAGCCAGGGTCAGTGCAGGGCACTCGGCATTTTGCAGGAGGGTGGAAAGGCTGCCTGGGATTTGTGCCAAGGTTGGAGCCTCCTTGTCCGGCTTTCCCTCCGCCCTGCCCGGGGAGACACTTCCCCCCTGAGGAAAAGCCCTGACGGCGCAGAAGTCGCTGCAGAAGCACGTCATGAGCCTTTGTGGGCCGTTTGCAAAAGCTGGAGCTTTAAGTTTAAAAAAGAGATCACTACGTTTTCAGAGGAGGCTGATTTGTTCAAAAGGGTTAAACTAAGGACAGGATTTGACGCAGCGTAGGAAGGGCAGAGCTAAACCCTCCGGACTGGCGCAAATCCCGGCGGCGCTGCTGGGACCGGCCGTGTCTGCCCCTGACCCCCTGCGCCCCTCGGCTGCGCCCGCCTCAGGCCCTGCGCCAGCGCTGCCGCCCCTCAGCACAGCAGGGAAGTGCCCGAAGAAGCTGCGGCCACCGCTTCCAGCCCGGCCACCCTTTGCCCTTGTGCTCACGGCAAACGTGTCCCCGGTGCCACCCGCCGGTGTTCCCGGTGCCACCCGCCGGTGTTCCCGGTGCCACCCGCCGGTGTTCCCGGTGCCGCGGCGCAGCCGGCAGAGACGGCCGGCAGCAAGCCCGGGATGGGAATATGCTGGAGAGACGGAGCTCAGCGGCTTCTGCTGGTGCCAGGAGTCGGGACAAGGGGCGGCAGGTGCGAGCTGCAGCTAGGGGGAAATCTGGTTAAATATTAGGAGACAGCTTTTAACGCGAGAGTGATCAGGCACAGGGCATGGAGACCTTGTGGTCTGTTGTATAACTCTGGAGACATTCCGACTTCGAGTGGTGAAACGTGGAGACACCTGATTAAATTTGATATTGAAGCTGCTTAAAGAAGGGTTTGGGTCAGGAAACCCCAGAAATCCCTTGCAAGCACAATCAGTCTGGAACTCAGCTCTGCTCAGCCTCCCAACAGCCCTGGCACATCAACGGGGAAACTGAGGCACAGGGGAGAGAGGAGACATGGGAGAGCTTGTGCAAGAAAAATCTAGTTCTTTACAGGGAAGAGCTGCGCATTCCTTAGCTGCTTTTCATTTTAATATAATCAGCATTTTTTGAAGGGCAAAGTCAGCACAGGACCGGTGGCTGCACAAACCCAGGACACAGCTCAGTGCTGAAGAAAGCAAAAGGACTTCAGCCCAGGCAGGCAGGAGCAGAGGTACAAAGGATGGCTGATAACAGCCTGCTATGAGCCACGGAGCCCACATCTGCAGCAAAGGACATGCCACCTGCCAAAGCACTGGAGTCTGACACTAAGTATATTGCCTCTCTTTATTCTTATGGTTCTAACTGGAGCAATGAGAAAAACATCTGGTGGAGAGTGGTCCAGTCACTGCCCTGGGCAGTGGTGTGGAAAATGACTTTTCTACACCCAGCATCCCAAAAGACTCTTTCTGCAGGGCCTGTAGGTAGAGACAGTAGGTAAATTTCAGGCTCTGGACAGAGCTGCTTGTGATGGTGTTGCTGAAGGTTGAACAGGGCAGCTATAGCAGAGCAGGAAGCAAACAGAAGCATTTTAATAATATATCTGAGCTCAAACAGTGGGCCAGAGCAGAACACACCTCTAGGAAATCAGCTAGGAAGGGAGCTATTTATCTCTAATTATATAAATTATATCACCAACCAGCCTGCATCTCCCCACCATCTCCGTGCTCAGTGTTCCTCATGACATTGCAGAGATGAAGCCTCAGCCACCCAAATCTGCTGTGGCCCTGCAGTCCTCCCTGTACCTGTAGTCACCAGATCCTCTTGGCACACTGGCATGCAGTGGGGTGGTCACCCTGTAATGGAGGTCTGTCCCCATTCCAGATGTGGATTCAGGTCTTTTCAGAAGGTTCTGGATAAAACAGCAAGTCTGGACCTTATTCTTAGGGACTGGTCAGGCTTAAATCGATGGTGAAACCTCCCCATCCCAGGTCTTTTCAGAAGGTTCTGGCTAAAACAGCAAGTCTGGACCTTGTTCTTCAGGGACTGGTCAGGCTTAAATCGATGGTGAAACCTCCCCATCACCATCCCTGGAGTCACTGGAAGCTCCCAGTGATGCTTTACTTAGATGCTGAAAGGAGTGGCTGATCTCTCCAAAACAAAGTCTCAGCTCCTCAGCATGCTCCAGTGGTAGCTGACACAAAAAACTACAAGTAGTGTCTCTGGACAAACAGTGAAATATTAGAAATAAAAGAAATAGCAAAAACTGCAGGATGTGTGATTTGCCTCCTCTGTTCTAACCTTTCCCCTTTCCCATGATGGTGTGCCAAGGTGAACTCAGGATTTTCCGTCCTTGCCCATGCAGAGGCAGAGCACACTTTGAGCTGGAACAAGGACAGGATCAATTCCATAGGAAGAACTGCACAAGCTGATAGTTTTTATTACCAATGCAAGTATTTAATGTACTTCTTTTCAAGAGTCACCCAGCACAGTTCAATGAGACCTCACCTATTCCCCGCTCATGTCTCTGGGCATTCACTTACCATATATCTAATTCTTTTAATGTATGTTTTAGCTATGTGAAATGACTTCCTTAATGCATGCAATTTTTTTTTTTTTTCCAAGTGAAGAGCTTACAATGAGATTGATGATTCCTTCAGCATTACATCCGTCTGGAATGCAGGAGCCCTGTAAAAAAAAATAATAATTTATTACACCAGGTTTCCTGCTGCTTTGTATCTGCAAAGAGGCTGTTGCCACAAGTCTATCCAAGCCCTGGGTCTATCAGCAGTGACAACCCTCATTAACAGGGTCAGTGGTTAATGCTGGGTGCAGGGGCTGCTGATGTGGCAGTCACAGGTGAGCACAGAACACAGCCTGGGACACAAACCAGGATGACACTGCCATTTACTTGGAGAGGTTTTCCCATGCTCAGCCCTACAATTTCCATGAACTCAAGTTCAGAGTGGCATTTCATTTTGGGTGGAGCTCTGAGCAACCTGGTCTAGTGGAAGGTGTCCCTGCCCATGGCAGGGCAGTTGGAACCAGATGACCTTTAAGGTCCCTTCCAACCCAAACCATTCTGTGATTCCATGATTCACTCTTTGATTCTTTAATATTATTTTGAATTTTTAAGAAAAGGAGGGGAGGAGTGTGCCCATGCTGCCTGTCAGGACTCATCCACTGCAGCAACAGATGAGCTGGAAAATGTAATAGCCTCTAATTAACCTGGTCTTACTCACTGCCTCCATATTCCTGCTGACCTGGTCTAGTGGAAGGTGTCCCTGCCCATGGCAGGGCAGTTGGAACCAGATGACCTTTAAGGTCCCTTCCAACCCAAACCATTCTGTGATTCCATGATTCACTCTTTGATTCTTTAATATTATTTTGAATTTTTAAGAAAAGGAGGGGAGGAGTGTGCCCATGCTGCCTGTCAGGACTCATCCACTGCAGCAACAGATGAGCTGGAAAATGTAATAGCCTCTAATTAACCTGGTCTTACTCACTGCCTCCATATTCCTGCTGGGATTTGCAATTCTGCTTTGGACCTTGCCCATTCCTGAGCAGTTCATGGTCTCTGGACTCATATGTCAGGAATCACCTGTATTTGCAAACCCTAGCTAAAGCTGCTGTCAGACTTTACCTTTTCTTCTTCTTCTCGCTCTCTCTTTTTTTTTTCTTTTTTTTTTTTTCTTTCTTTTTTTTCTTTTTTTGGAATGCATCCCTTTTTATCCTTCCAAGGGATTTCCTCAACCTCTCCTCCTTCCAAAGGCATCCCAAAGCATGATGAGGACTGAGGAAGTAGAAAGACATGTATAACAACAAAAATTCCATTTTTTCCTGCGCCAATCCCCCTAAAATAGCATGTCTCAGCCCCAAGCGTTGCAGCACTCAAAGAGAAGCACAGCAAAACTCTCAGCTTCGTGTTTGCTGAGGAGCTTTTCCATCCTCTCCAGCAAAGTGGGCCCCTGTACATGTCCCAGGCACAAGAGGCACGTTGGGCCGGGGTCCCTGGAGCATTTCCCCCGCAGAGCATCCCCAGGAGCGCCGTGGACCAGCGGCTGTGCCGAAGCCACAGCGAATCCCAAGTCACTAGATGGCGGCAGTGCCTTGTGTCCAGGCATCCTGGAGGAGGTGCACATCCCTTTCCCTGATCCCTGCCAGCCTTTCTCACCCTCCCAGCACCCTCCGTCCTTCGCGTTCCCAACAACAGCCGGGAATCACCTCTCCAAAGTTTTGGAGCTGAGAAAAAGGAAGCACGTTGTGTCCTGCGGCAGGAGGGTTGGCTGCAAAGCTGATGCAAGAGCTCGTCGGGGTGGGAAGGAGGTTCTTCAGGTCCACCCACCTTCTCCTGAATTCTTCAGAATTCTTCAGGTTCTTCATGTATACCCATCTTCTCCAGAATTCCATCCTGGGATTTTATTACCTTATTTTCAGCAAGATCTCTCCTGTCCCCAGTGAGACACTCAGAAAAGGGCACACAGAAAGGACCCCAACTCTCATGCAGGTCCAAAAAGCACCACATTTAATAAAATGTAACACATAACCCTGAGCAGAACAAAAATGTCCCCATTACTCCCAGTCCTGTCTTTGCCCACAAGTTGTCTGGGGTCTGAAAATCGCATTCAAACAAAAGCTTTCAGATATATACGTGACCCAGACAACATCAGGCAGGTCCAGAAAGGCAGTTACCAGGATATTCGGGATTTTGCAATGCCATTTACTGCCCTGTGGGAAGTGTGTTACATTGGCTGAGAAAAATTACAGGAGCTTATGACTGGAGGTTGTTGAAGTTATGTGTCCCCTGCCCTCTCATGTACAGAAGTGTGAACATTCACAGAGAGAACAGGGAGATTCTAGGTAAAAAATGCAAGATTCTGACCAGGAATCAAAGTACTTCAGTTGTGCCTTCTCAGAGGCAGACACAACTTGGTCAGGGTCAGAATCTACACCAGGAAGGGGGCTAAGGAACTTTGCAGAATGTCTGCAGCTGCACAGGCAAACATGCACCCAGAATTGTTTATTTGAGCCTCATGTCAAGGAGATATAAGACAGAAATGTATGACTGTAAATAAATTAAACTCTAAAAACTGTACAAAGCTGCATCCCCTACAATTTCCATGAACTCGAGTTTAGAGTGGCATTTCATTTTGGGTGGAGCTCTGAGCAGCCTGGTCTAGTGGAAGGTGTCCCTGCCCATGGCAGGGCAGTTGGAACCAGATGACCTTTAAGGTCCCTTCCAACCCAAACCATTCTGTGATTCCATGATTCACTCTGTGATTCTTTAATATTA